GCTGTCCCTGGCGTTACCAAGATTAAAGATGGTTACAATCCAGCTACGTGGATGTTGGAGGTCAGCGCTTCTGCAGTTGAGGCTCAACTTGACGTTGACTTTGCAGAAATTTATGCCAATTCTGACCTCTATCGGTAATTGATAGACAAAATTGTGGCCTTGATGTTACTTTTGATCCCACAATCTCTTTACTAAACCTTTCTTGAATTTTCTTTTTCAGGAGAAATCAGGAGCTTATAAAGGAGCTAAGCACTCCTGAACCGGGTTCCAAAGATCTCTACTTCCCCACCCAATACTCCCAGTCCTTTATAACTCAATGCAAGGCTTGTTTCTGGAAACAACACNAACAATTTTCTTAAAGACAGTTTGGGTTTTGATCATGACTTCCTTATTCCAGTAGTTGTTGCCCACGTTGGTTGGGTCCTCCTCTTCTTCTTCATCTTTGCCTATGGCATCAAGTTCCTAAACTTCCAAAGAAGATGAGAAACTGCATTTCACAATGGAGAATCTTTCAATAGCTAGATTTGTACAGAGTATACGCAGTTTGTGTTAGTGAGAGGAGACAAAAAACCCTGTTACCTACCTCTTGTATTTTTCTATACATTTTTCACCTGTAATTTGATTTTGCTTGATTTGTTGGTCATGGTTATGTAAAATTATTCTTTTTGTATGAATTTTGTTGAAGTGATTCTATATAATAGAGAGAACTCAGTTTCCATAAATACAAAGCTTGCTTGTCCATTTATGATATTGGTGTATGAAAAAAAAGAAAAAGAATCCAGAATAAACGTCTACGAAATCTTTTTATGATCTGCATCACAACTATTTTGCTTTTACTTCTTGTTACAAGTAACTTCCTACAATCAAGAGAATTGATGTCTAGAAACATGCTAATGATCAAAATAAAATGTAAAGAACTTCACTTGGATGACAGTGATGCAATCAAGATATGTGGCTTGCATAGCTTCCCCTCATAAATTGTACCAGCAAAACTGACATCAACGAAATAAAATGTCTGTGTGGGTGCGGGTGTGTGTTTTTTCGTGTAATATTTATATTCGAAACTCGGAAGTTTATGTTTTCTATTGAACTACTACCAGGAAGCCTAAATAATACATGAAGATGTGCATCACTTGGTCCAAACTCGCTGTGCTAGGCTCCCAGGTACTTCAAATCTAATTCATTTTATTGTTATTACACTTCAACATATCACATATAAGGCTAAATACAACTCACCTATGCATTACAGGTCAATCGAGGATCCCCCAATTTATGAGTTTTACGATTGGCATAACACCCTAAAAAAATATAATGAAATTCAAAACATTTTCCCAACTATATAAGGTAAAAAATAACTGGGACAGAAACATAAATAAAAAAAAATAAAATACTCATCTCTGAAAAAATCAAAAATGTAATGTAACCTGGGCAGCTGTCTTCAACACCTTGATCGAGTTATCCGGGATAGTCGTAAATCATTCCATAACTTGAAATCAAAGGATAACCGATATAGATAACATGGTTGTATGCACAGTTATAGAAGATATATGGCCAAGACTTGTCACCTTCACTCTTTCGGCAAATGCAAAAACCAAACCACCATCTGTCAGTAAAATTCGTCACTGTCAACAACTAAGAGTATATCATTAAGTTTTAAGAGATGCATCTGCAATATCATGGATCTCCCTCCTTCTTGCTCTTGACCAAGAATCGTTTCTTGGTCTCGAAATCAAGTTTATCCAAGTCCCCGGGAACCCATATAAAACATTTTCCAACTTGTCTGCTGTTGTTTTTTTGTGTTTCCCCACTACTGTCAGTGCTACTAGTGGCATTGATCTGTTGAAACTCAACCCGTCCATGAGAAACAGCTATGGTAAACAACCAATCAGAGAAACAAAACTTGTCTTAATCAAAAACTCTAAAAAGCTTTACTCTCAGGAGCGTAACTCGGGTGGATTGAACAGTCAATCTTAATTCAGTCTTAAGTATATAATCTTAATTCTATTTGGGATTGAAGATCTCAATTCGAGCACTGCCTGAGTTTAATTCGGACGGGTTCGAGTTGAATTCAAATTAATGTTTTCGGGTTACTTTACGGGTTCAATTCGGGTTCAATTCGCATAGAACCTAAAATAGGTTTGTTGTTCTAAACCTAATACATATATTACATAATATTCACATAAATTAACAACTAATAATTTCAACCAAGTTTTTAACATAAAAATTATAATCAAAACATAAAAATCATTACCTCCAGTCTACTACGAGAGAGACAGAGAGAGGGGAGAATAATGACAAATTCATAAGACATAATCTATATATTTTATTCATAACAGTGCACGATTATTGATTATATGTTTTCACACCAAAAATAAAAAATCAGTGCTAATGTTTTATATATATAATTTTTTTTTAATTTATCGGGTTCGGGTTGAACCCATGAACTCGAGGTCTTAACCCGAGCTCAACGTAAATTGAATGCGAGTTGAGATTTTTTAACCCAAGTCCAACCCAAATATTAAAAACCCTTGCCCCAACCCTAATTTTTTCGGGTTGGGCTCGAGTTGAAATCAGGTTGCCCAACCCAAGTTGCACCCCTACTTTTAGTCAGCTAGATTAAGGAAAGGTATGCTCTGACACTGTTTCACATCCGCTTTTGACATTTTTCTTGTGGCTAGGCAAGTCACTTTTGACATGCATGTGAAATCAACTAATGGCAAGTGCCTTATCGCATAATGAACATCCTGATTATATGTATAATCTTGGTTTGCATTGAATTGGTATATGTAACGACAGAGTGAAAATTTGGAATGCACTGGGGGTATTTATCATGAAACTATTACACACCAAATGTATGGACAAGATTTCTGATGATGCACGAAATAGTTTCGTGCAGGATCAACAATCGAGTGTGTGATCAAATATAATTAATGCACAATAAATAAAACATTCAATGACAGTAATGTAAATATCGAGTCGACAAACAGATAAATAGTTGTTCAGTCCGGGTGACCTATTCCACTTTGAAAAATGGCAACGGTGGCGGGGGGTCTTTATTGATGAAGTAGGGTGAACGGGGAGAAAACAATGGTTAGCTCTGGGAGAGATACAATAGCTAGGAGAGAGAAAAGCTATGTGTGTATAGAGAGGTGTGGTGAGATGCAAAGATGTGTCTTCTTATGTGAAGAAAACTTACAATTTATAGGTATGGTGAGGCAGTGACGTGAATGTGAGGGCACTAATTCTTTGGGGAGGATAGTTACAAAAGGTAAGTATAATTAATTCTTGTGTATCCATCCCGATGATCTCTCCCCCACACGCTCTTTTCTTCATGGACTCTTTGAATTTTGGACTGTGTCGAATTGATGAACTGAACTTGGGCTGCCTTCCTAGTGGATTTGAGTTGGCTTGATTTACAGGTTCTAGCCCAATTAGATTTAGCTCGTCATTTGTCCCCATATCCCAAGCCCTAGTGGTGAAGGAGTTGAGGGCATGAACGAGTCTTTTACTTTTGGGTGGCTTGCTCCCCACAATAACCTCTTTGTCTGAAAAAGAAGTTTCTTATCCTACATGGTGGTAGATTCTTCATCTTCTTGCTCAGTTTGCGTTTCAAGAGCTTGCTTTCTTTTTCATCCTATTTTATTACAGTAATGCCATTGAGCTAGAGTGAGTTTCATTTAAAAACCTCATTTTCCCCATTTTTGGCATTCTCCATAAGGGTGTCATAGGTTCGGCATTGATAAACTCCATTTCACTCTTCCTTCTTTGCAACTCATTTCCTTGAGATATTAGATCCTCCATTGAAGGTTGGTTTGAGGAGAGGAGTTTTATAGAGAGTATTTNACTGGTCCTATTGGCGGAACTCACAGTACAACGCTATCAGATTCTTCATGACAATCGTCATTGGCGTCATATTCGGTGTCATCTTCTGGAACAAAGGAGATCAGATGTAAGTCAAAAATATTCGTTTTTTCCATCAAAATGCCAGTGCTCATATCTGCAGAAAACATTTTTGCTTTTATAAACTGAAACTAACATGAACTGCATATGTATATATCGGCAACAGATATAGACAGCAAGACCTGCTTAATCTGCTGGGAGCAACCTATTCAGCTGTCCTTTTCCTAGGAGCCTGCAATGCTTCTGCAGTGCAATCTGTTGTATCAGTTGAGAGAACAGTTTTCTATCGTGAAAGAGCTGCAGGAATGTATTCGGAGTTGCCCTATGCATTTGCCCAGGTAAAAGACAGAATATACTTCTGAATTTTTCAATATATAAGCATTTGTGTGTATATCATTTATCTCACTTCCACCGAGTGATTTCTATGGGAACACTTCTAATGACTATCTGTATTTTTCCGTTTCAGGTGGCCATAGAGACTATTTATGTTGCAATTCAGACATTTTTCTATGTGCTGCTTCTGTACTCGATGATTGGGTTCCACTGGACAGCTGAGAAGTTCTTGTATTTCTATTACTTCATCTTTATGTGCTATACCTACTTCTCAATGTATGGAATGATGGTTGTCGCCCTGACTCCTGGCAGTCAGATTGCTGCTATTGTCATGTCCTTCTTTGTGAGCTTCTGGAACTTGTTCTCTGGTTTCCTCATCGCCAGACCGGTATGTGGCATAAACCCCGAGAGTCATCTTCATAGTTATATTTGTACAGAAAACTGTTTAGTTTTGCCCTTTTTTTGCTATGTTTGGGGTTGAGCGTGGGACTGCGATTCTCCATAAAATAACGAGCAGCAATGACAAGAATCAGGAAGAATTTGATGAATAATCTTTCCATAATGATGTAGAAGTTGTGCTTAACTTTTATGATATTGCTGCTTCTATCTTGGTCCATAGAGTTTTGTAAATGAACTTTTCCTATAAAAGTTGCACAGCAGAATTAAGACTTTTAAGCTGATTTGATGATTGTGGTCAAAGTGCATGTCTTTTACCTGAAATCATATATTCAACATAATTTTAATGAAGATGCTTAAATGTTTTGCAGCTTATCCCAATATGGTGGAGGTGGTACTACTGGGCTTCTCCAGTTGCATGGACAGTTTATGGTGTCTTCGCTTCTCAAGTGGGTGACCGAACAGGTAACCTCACGCTCACCGGTGGAGACAGAGTGCCGGTGAACAATTTTCTTAAAGACAGTTTGGGTTTTGATCATGACTTCCTTATTCCAGTAGTTGTTGCCCACGTTGGTTGGGTCCTCCTCTTCTTCTTCATCTTTGCCTATGGCATCAAGTTCCTAAACTTCCAAAGAAGATGAGAAACTGCATTTCACAATGGAGAATCTTTCAATAGCTAGATTTGTACAGAGTATACGCAGTTTGTGTTAGTGAGAGGAGACAAAAAACCCTGTTACCTACCTCTTGTATTTTTCTATACATTTTTCACCTGTAATTTGATTTTGCTTGATTTGTTGTTCATGGTTATGTAAAATTATTCTTTTTGTATGAATTTTGTTGAAGTGATTCTATATAATAGAGAGAACTCAGTTTCCATAAATACAAAGCTTGCTTGTCCATTTATGATATTGGTGTATGAAAAAAAAGAAAAAGAATCCAGAATAAACGTCTACGAAATCTTTTTATGATCTGCATCACAACTATTTTGCTTTTACTTCTTGTTACAAGTAACTTCCTACAATCAAGAGAATTGATGTCTAGAAACATGCTAATGATCAAAATAAAATGTAAAGAACTTCACTTGGATGACAGTGATGCAATCAAGATATGTGGCTTGCATAGCTTCCCCTCATAAATTGTACCAGCAAAACTGACATCAACGAAATAAAATGTCTGTGTGGGTGCGGGTGTGTGTTTTTTCGTGTAATATTTATATTCGAAACTCGGAAGTTTATGTTTTCTATTGAACTACTACCAGGAAGCCTAAATAATACATGAAGATGTGCATCACTTGGTCCAAACTCGCTGTGCTAGGCTCCCAGGTACTTCAAATCTAATTCATTTTATTGTTATTACACTTCAACATATCACATATAAGGCTAAATACAACTCACCTATGCATTACAGGTCAATCGAGGATCCCCCAATTTACGAGTTTTACGATTGGCATAACACCCTAAAAAAATATAATGAAATTCAAAACATTTTCCCAACTATATAAGGTAAAAAATAACTGGGACAGAAACATAAATAAAAAAAAATAAAATACTCATCTCTGAAAAAATCAAAAATGTAATGTAACCTGGGCAGCTGTCTTCAACACCTTGATCGAGTTATCCGGGATAGTCGTAAATCATTCCATAACTTGAAATCAAAGGATAACCGATATAGATAACATGGTTGTATGCACAGTTATAGAAGATATATGGCCAAGACTTGTCACCTTCACTCTTTCGGCAAATGCAAAAACCAAACCACCATCTGTCAGTAAAATTCGTCACTGTCAACAACTAAGAGTATATCATTAAGTTTTAAGAGATGCATCTGCAATATCATGGATCTCCCTCCTTCTTGCTCTTGACCAAGAATCGTTTCTTGGTCTCGAAATCAAGTTTATCCAAGTCCCCGGGAACCCATATAAAACATTTTCCAACTTGTCTGCTGTTGTTTTTTTGTGTTTCCCCACTACTGTCAGTGCTACTAGTGGCATTGATCTGTTGAAACTCAACCCGTCCATGAGAAACAGCTATGGTAAACAACCAATCAGAGAAACAAAACTTGTCTTAATCAAAAACTCTAAAAAGCTTTACTCTCAGGAGCGTAACTCGGGTGGATTGAACAGTCAATCTTAATTCAGTCTTAAGTATATAATCTTAATTCTATTTGGGATTGAAGATCTCAATTCGAGCACTGCCTGAGTTTAATTCGGACGGGTTCGAGTTGAATTCAAATTAATGTTTTCGGGTTACTTTACGGGTTCAATTCGGGTTCAATTCGCATAGAACCTAAAATAGGTTTGTTGTTCTAAACCTAATACATATATTACATAATATTCACATAAATTAACAACTAATAATTTCAACCAAGTTTTTAACATAAAAATTATAATCAAAACATAAAAATCATTACCTCCAGTCTACTACGAGAGAGACAGAGAGAGGGGAGAATAATGACAAATTCATAAGACATAATCTATATATTTTATTCATAACAGTGCACGATTATTGATTATATGTTTTCACACCAAAAATAAAAAATCAGTGCTAATGTTTTATATATATAATTTTTTTTTAAATTTATCGGGTTCGGGTTGAACCCATGAACTCGAGGTCTTAACCTGAGCTCAACGTAAATTGAATGCAGGTTGAGATTTTTTAACCCAAGTTCAACCCAAATATTAAAAATTCTTGTCCAAACCCTAATTTTTTCGGGTTGGGCTCGAGTTGAAATCAGGTTACCCAACTCAAGTTGCACCCCTACTTTTAGTCAGCTAGATTAAGGAAAGGTATGCTCTGACACTGTTTCACATCCGCTTTTGACATTTTTCTTGTGGCTAGGCAGGTCACTTTTGACATGCATGTGAAATCAACTAATGGCAAGTGCCTTATCGCATAGTGAACATCCTGATTATATGTATAATCTTGGTTTGCATTGAATTGGTATATGTAACGACAGAGTGAAAATTTGGAATGCACTGGGGGTATTTATCATGAAACTATTACACACCAAATGTATGGACAAGATTTCTGATGATGCACGAAATAGTTTCGTGCAGGATCAACAATCGAGTGTGTGATCAAATATAATTAATGCACAATAAATAAAACATTCAATGACAGTAATGTAAATATCGAGTCGACAAACAGATAAATAGTTGTTCAGTCCGGGTGACCTATTCCACTTTGAAAAATGGCAACGGTGGCGGGGGGTCTTTATTGATGAAGTAGGGTGAACGGGGAGAAAACAATGGTTAGCTCTGGGAGAGATACAATAGCTAGGAGAGAGAAAAGCTATGTGTGTATAGAGAGGTGTGGTGAGATGCAAAGATGTGTCTTCTTATGTGAAGAAAACTTACAATTTATAGGTATGGTGAGGCAGTGACGTGAATGTGAGGGCACTAATTCTTTGGGGAGGATAGTTACAAAAGGTAAGTATAATTAATTCTTGTGTATCCATCCCGATGATCTCTCCCCCACACGCTCTTTTCTTCATGGACTCTTTGAATTTTGGACTGTGTCGAATTGATGAACTGAACTTGGGCTGCCTTCCTAGTGGATTTGAGTTGGCTTGATTTACAGGTTCTAGCCCAATTAGATTTAGCTCGTCATTTGTCCCCATATCCCAAGCCCTAGTGGTGAAGGAGTTGAGGGCATGAACGAGTCTTTTACTTTTGGGTGGCTTGCTCCCCACAATAACCTCTTTGTCTGAAAAAGAAGTTTCTTATCCTACATGGTGGTAGATTCTTCATCTTCTTGCTCAGTTTGCGTTTCAAGAGCTTGCTTTCTTTTTCATCCTATTTTATTACAGTAATGCCATTGAGCTAGAGTGAGTTTCATTTAAAAACCTCATTTTCCCCATTTTTGGCATTCTCCATAAGGGTGTCATAGGTTCGGCATTGATAAACTCCATTTCACTCTTCCTTCTTTGCAACTCATTTCCTTGAGATATTAGATCCTCCATTGAAGGTTGGTTTGAGGAGAGGAGTTTTATAGAGAGTATTTGTGACACCCCAAAGTTCGGGTGTCTGTAATTATCCGATTGGTTATCCATCGACCTGTGTAATACTGGTGGATATCGTGTAATTTGATACCACACCGTTATGCCCCATTTCTTGGGATCCATAACTTAACAAAATTTGGACAGAGTCTCCTTTGTACAAGGAGCTCTACCCAAAACGCAACCTGTACAACATTGACCACACCGGGTCTATCTATCCATTCACAATTATATAGTCTCGACTACTACCATAATCATTATCAGTACATACATTTATTCGTAAAAGAATAAATGTCCCAAAAGAGTCCCATATACATGCCTTTGTAAATATAAACAATGTTTGTTACAAAAATTACACAAGGCCAAAAGTAAGTATAAACAAGGGACTACAATGTCAAAAGAAAAGCCACAGACCGGCTCTGTCGTCAAAGCGGGCCCATGGCCTCGCCTTCGGTGGAAGCCTGTGCGATACCTGAAAAATGTTCCCATAAAGGGTGAGCTAACGCTCAATAGGGTAACGCCTATAGAGAATACCTCTCAACCTAAATGAATATGGAATGTCACATGCAACAATCATTTGATACATTCATTTAAATATGTCTATTATGATTGAATGTTATAGGTCATGTCATGCCATGAGATGAGACTCACGCAAGCAATACCAACCCCGAGCCCCATCCTGAGCTCCCATAACACATGCAATGTCATGCGTATGTATCCGAGCATTCCAAGCCCCCATCATTGGTGTTATGTACACTCAATGCTAATTAATTCATTTTCTTGTGTCTTTGTGGGGAGATGATTTATGGTATTACACCAATGGGACACCAACCATCAACGGATCTTCAGGACATCCCACCTGCGGCTCCGTTTCCGCCGTTACACTTTTTTGGAATTTCACCGCCGGAAAGTGTATAAACCAAGTAAGCGGGTCTTGCACCCGAGGGAGAATCTAGCCCTTCGTGCTGTCCCCAACACATTTATCCATTTAATTTCTCGTGCGACTCAACCGAACCTTGGTGCGACTTTTCCGAGTCCACGTTCAACCACCTACGTGGTGATTGATTTCATACCATGCATACACTCTCACCCATGTCAATGCCCATGAATGTAGTGCAACCCATGCATAATGAAATACAATGTAATGACATTTTAACACGATCTCAAGCATGTTAGGTAAGATAATCAACTCAACTAACATACTTGTATTCACCTAGGCATTTAATCAAATACCTAAAGAGTACATCAATTTGCACAACTAGCATGCTATGACTTGCAACATGATAACATGTTTAACATAAGCACAAAGTCCACCAAAATAATCATATGTTAAATAATCATTTAACATATATATATTATTTCACAATCATATAACAAGTTATTAATTTTATTAAACTTGATCTTCCATTCAAATATAAAGTAATGCTAACATACAATTAACATGCTTTAAACTACATTAACTTATACCAAGTTAATCACAATAAAATTTTATTAATCACAAGATTAATTATAAATTCTATATTTGACCCACTAGTCAAGACCTAACATGTGATATACACTCATAATCTACTCATTCCATATGTCATATTTTAAGTTGAAATTAAATCTAAATAGGGGAAACCCTACCTCTCGTAGCGTGAGACCA